CTTATAATAAAATTGTCAGTGTGTCAGCCTACTGTATATGGCGGCTAACCTCTTATCAATGTCTTAATTGTATGAATAGACAGTGATATGAAGTCTTAGTCAGGGAGATGAGCCCACATGGTTTCGATCCAACATTCACCACGTCAGCCAAGACAGTATAAATATGTCATCTTTGTAATGAAAAAGTGGATGAGAAATAGAAATCTGGACGATCATATGTTCAAAACATACACTTAAACTCTTGAAGGAAATATTCTTACATTTCATCTGTCCTTCAATATATTCCTACTTTGTTATTACATAAATCAATTTGATTTCCATCCGGCAATCGTTGTTAGTACGATTGCCTTTGTTTTACCTGTTGCAGGTTGAACATTTTGCAGGTATTCATTTCTTCACTGTAATAGCAGAAATACCTTACTCTACACAGGAAGTCCGAATGTCGTTTCTTAACTATTTTATTATGCCGATATATCTTTATCTTTTTATATGAGCTAAATTAGACAACATGAGTTTGGAGGAGTTCAAAGTACATGCATATGTCACTTTTTTTAAAATGAAAACAAATTAGCTATTTTTTTGTTATTTCCTTTTTTGTTTACATCTTTTAGCTTATTTAAGGACTATGTTTCTTTACTCGTCGGGTGAGATTATTTCGATGTATTCACGATAAACTTTAAAATACATCTTTCGAATTTAAAATTAATAAGCAACTAGTTCATAATAACAAGTCAAAAATGGTCACAAGAAATGAACTTAATAATCATGGTTTAAACTTCATAAATTTTTACATTGATATTGATTAGAAATAGAAGCAAAAAGTAAAATTAATAATATTGATTTTGCTTTCAATAATTTATGCAAGATAATTTTCGATATTTAAAAATCATCTATAATATATTTATCATGGTCGCATAACAGATTTTTGAATCGTTCAAAATAGATAGCTGTAGCTTAAAATGCACATTCAAACAAATATATATATATTTTTTTATTAATAACACTTTTAAGAAGTGAAAAAATTTAGATTGGAGGGAGGGTTTGTCTGCTCGTGTCAATGCGAAAACCAAAAATTGCAAAGTCTCAGTATTTATTATGGGTCAAAATTGGACCATAATGGAATTTTGGTCCTATATCCATCCCAATTAAAGTTATAATTAAGTTTAAATGTATTATTCTAATTATTTTTAAGAGTAATGCTATTTAATATTTAAGAGTATGTTATAACAATACTTAGCCTCTGGTTGGTAGGTATTTTTGTGGAGAGAATGCGTTTTTTCGGTTGATGTGATGGAGAATATGTGGTTGAAAAAAAATGAAAATTTATTATTTCATTGAAAAATGAGAATGAAAAATATAATGTGACGGTTTATTATAACAAGAACGTAGCATTATTCCATTTGTAATGACCTAATTATCCCATCATCAAATACATGAATATGCTTAAGATCCGAAACAATTTCCTTGGCCAAGGTTCGCCCACGGTGTCGCGCAAACCACGGTTCCCCATCAAAATTGTGGAATGGATAGTGGAAACCGCACCCCCAGCGCTTTTTAGCAAAACCACCTCCATCCTACGCCTTTTTCTAACATATAAAATTCTGGAACCTTCCATTTCTACGAGATCTCATTGCATTCCAGTTTCCGTCTCTTTACTTGCACCTCGATTTGTACACTGTAAGCTCAACTATTATCCTTTCCCATTAATCTATGTTATATGCGCATTTTTGTATATGTATATGATACTTGGATTTTATTTTGTGTTTGTTTAGGTTTTTTCTTGGCATAAATGGCGACAAAGAAGAGCGTCGGATCACTGAAGGAAGCAGATCTGAAGGGGAAGAGAGTGTTCGTTAGAGTGGATCTGAACGTTCCATTGGACGATAACTTCAACATCACCGACGACACTAGAGTCCGAGCCGCCGTCCCCACCATCAAATACTTGATCGGCTATGGAGCTAAAGTCATCCTCGCCTCTCACCTTGTACGTATAATTTCTTCTTGAATCTGAAGATTAGTTTTTAATCTATAGTTCTGAAGTTAAATTAGGAATATTTGCTAGTTGGATCATTATGGCCATTTTTAATTTATATTGTTTCGATCTGCTTGATCGAATTGATGATATGTATTTTATTGCTATGTACTTTGATCCGTGAGATTTGATCTTGTCCTTTATTTTTTAGATTATGATTTCCTTTCTATTGATTTTAGATCTTCGTTATATTTCGTGGTAATTATATGAGTTTGAAGGTTTCCTAAGTCTGTTTATTATTCGGGTGGATGAAAGATTGTCCTCAGATACAAATATAGGATGCTAATTATTTCCTTGCCCTTTAACTTTTCCCAAAAAAAATCTAGTTGTCTCACTTCAAGATCTCAATGCCATTGTTATGCCGAATTTAATGAGAATCAGTTCAGGAATAGAGATTATGCTGCAGTAGGTTATACTGAATTTGGAATTGGTGATGATTATTTAGCTAGATGATTTCTATTTGTTCATGGCACAGCAAACTTGTCATTCTAATTTTTGTCTATTGTTATCTGTTCATTTTGTGCTTTTAGTTACTCTATTTGCATCTTCTTTCATTTTACTGTCATATTCAGTATTTTTATTAACTAATTATGTTATTCCATTGTTTGAATTGTGGGTTTTAGGGGCGTCCAAAAGGTGTTATGCCAAAGTTCAGTTTAAAGCCTCTAGTGCCCAGGCTCTCTGAACTACTTGGAGTTGAGGTTTGTTTTCTCTTAAATGACACATATTTATAGAGGTTTTTATTTGTTAAAGCAATCAATTTGTTGTTAGAAAGATGTTTCTTTACTCATCATGTCTCTGCGCTATCAATAGGTCAAGATGGCTAACGACTGCATTGGTGATGAAGTTGTGAAATTGGTGAGCGGACTCCCAGAAGGAGGTGTTCTTCTCTTGGAGAATGTTAGATTTTACAAGGAAGAGGAAAAGAATGATCCTGAGTTTGCAAAGAAGCTTGCATCCCTTGCAGACTTGTATGTTAACGATGCCTTTGGAACTGCACATAGGGCCCATGCTTCAACCGAGGGAGTGACCAAGTACTTGAAACCTGCTGTTGCTGGATTCCTTATGCAGAAGGTATGCAGATACTTTAGACTTGCTTTACTTTTATATATTCTGTTGTTTGATAGAAAAATTAGTCTACATACATCAAGGCTCCATAAATGTATCCAGTACTGCAGATGTGAACTGTCGCATTGAATATTTCTAAATTGAATTTGTAATTAATGGAGTTCAAGTTTTTTTTTTTTTTATGCCTGTATACCTGCAGTCGACTTGCATCTGTATGATTGAACAAGCATTATGTATATATTCACACTGAACTTTTCTTCTGTCTCAGGAGCTTGACTATTTAGTTGGGGCTGTTTCCAACCCCAAGAAGCCATTTGCTGCAATTGTTGGTGGGTCAAAGGTATCCAGTAAAATTGGAGTTATCGAGTCACTCTTAGAGAAGGTAGACCTTCTCTTACTGGGTGGAGGAATGATCTTTACTTTCTACAAAGCCCAAGGACATGCTGTGGGATCTTCACTTGTTGAGGAGGACAAGCTTGATCTTGCAACTTCACTCATGGAGAAGGCCAAGGCTAAAGGGGTATCTTTATTGTTACCTTCTGATGTAGTTGCTGCGGACAAGTTTGCTGCTGATGCTAATAGCAAGGTTGGCTTAACTATTGTTTTAATCTTGAGCTGGACTTGATCTATTTCGACTTTGATTTCTCCTTTGTTCTATTTTTACTTGTAGAGAACATGACTGCAGCACCTAATGTTCTAATTCATGTTACTATAGTACATGACGATTGAGATGTTCCTCAATATTTTTGCAGGTTGTTCCAGCATCTGGAATCCCTGATGGCTGGATGGGATTAGATATTGGACCTGACTCCATCAAATCATTTAATGAAGCTTTAGATACTACCAAAACCATCATTTGGAATGGACCAATGGGTGTGTTTGAGTTTGACAAGTTTGCAGCCGGAACCGAGGTACTTGATGATAGATTGCATTCTTCAAGACATATTCACTTATTTAACTTCATGAACAAATTGCTCGGATAGTTAAAAATGAGCATACGTATTCATTATTTCAGGCCATAGCCAAGAAATTGGCAGAACTCAGTGGCAAGGGAGTGACTACTATCATTGGAGGAGGTGACTCTGTTGCTGCTGTTGAAAAGGTTGGGTTGGCGGACAAGATGAGCCACATCTCAACCGGAGGTGGTGCCAGCTTGGAGCTTCTCGAGGGGAAACAGCTACCTGGAGTTCTTGCACTCAATGATGCTTAAGCAGATTCTTCTTGCTGTTTTCCATTTTGTCCATCCTTTCTAGTTGTCGTGTCTGGGTTTTTACCAGATTGGATGCTGATAAATGTATGAACTGTCCTTGTAGAGCAGTAGATCGAATTTGAATAATTAGAACCACGCCTATCAGTGTCACACTGTGTGTTGCACGGCAAATAACAAACTTTCTGGGTTTTGAAGAATGAGATTATGGTTTTTGTGAGTGATGAATCGATGGGGTTTTCTCCTTGTCAACTTGTACGTTGTGATGAATGAACAACGATGAGTATTATTTGTGTAGTTTTCAACTAGTAATAGTGTCATAACAGGGAAAATGAAATAACTCGAGCAAGTTATGTATATATGAGAAATAAACTTTTTTCAAGTATGGTATCCAGTAAAGTCTCCGATGACATAAATTGTAGAGCAGTGCACTGTATGGTTGTATCAAGGAAGAGAAATAAAACTTTTCCAGTGAAACGTTGAGTCAGAATATTCAACGTACTCTTGAATGTTTCTTGGGGACTTTTAACGCTGCTCTTGGCAACGTTATACATGAGTGTCGAGAAGACATCTGTCAACCCGTATTTTCCATAAACTGCTCAGAA